GCGATACAAAAGATGATGAGTATGATAGACATTGTGAGCCTGGCTTGTGGCAAAATTGTTTGGTTCAACCTCCCTTGAATTACAAGATTCCACTTAGATGGCCCACTGGAAGGGATGTTATCTGGGTAGCAAATGTGAAAATCACAGCACAGGAGGTCCTTTCTTCAGGAAGCATGACCAAAAGGTTTGCCAAGAAATTCATTTGAAAAACCCCCCAATAGATTGAGCTCACATTATCTTTCTTTGACTAAGTGTTCTCCTGATTTTACAGGATGATGATGCTAGAGGAAGAACAGATATCTTTTCGTTCTGCCTCTCCAATGTTTGATGGTGTTGAAGATTATTCTCACCAGATTGCAGAAATGATTGGGCTGAGAAATGAATCAAATTTCAGAGAAATTGGGGTATGTATGTCACTGCTCTGTTTAAGCCAGTTCATCAGTTGTGGCCTTCTATACTTCGTCGCTAACATACAAACGGTCATGCACATACCGCTCCATCATGGTCACGCACATCCTGTAATTTTGAAGGAAACCAAATTGAATTGATCCTTCATGGTTGTAGATGCGATGTGAGATCCCAATGCTGCCAGCGTCCTCGCTGGATCTCAAAGAGGGGTGGATTGTGAGATCCTACATCGATTAGAGAAGGGAACAAGTGCCAATGAGGACGCTGGGCCCCGCAGGGGTGGATTGTGAGATCCACATCGGTTAGAGAGGAGAACAAAACATTCTTTTTACGGGTGTGGAAACCTCTCCCTAGCAGATGAGTTTTAAAAACCTTGAGGGGAAGCCCCAAAGGGAAAACTCAAAGAGAATAATATCTGCTAGCGGTGGGCTTGGGCTGTTACATGTGACTTCTTATTTCGTTTGAGAAAGATCATCCAAATTGCTTCACTTCTAGTCTTCAACTCCACGATACTCTTACAAGGATATTCTTATTTCAAAGCCTTAAATTTTAAGCATTTTCTTTTGCTTTAATCTGTCTACTCGGATGATGCTAGATAGCGAGTCAAGGAAAACTACGTCGCTGAGGAACATATTTATGTTAACATATAACGTCAGTTTGAATACCTAACAAGAAGTTGCACCTTCCTAAAATTTTGCAGGTAAGAACCCTTCTAGATATAGGGTGTGGTTATGGAAGCTTTGGAGCACATCTTTTCTCCAAACATCTCTTGACTATGTGCATAGCAAATTATGAGGCTTCTGGCAGTCAAGTTCAACTGACTCTTGAAAGGGGCCTCCCTGCAATGCTTGGTTCTTTTACTTCAAGACAGTTGCCATATCCATCTCTTTCCTATGATATGGTTCATTGTGCACGATGCGGTGTCGACTGGGATAGTAAAGGTAAACTTAAAGCCTTGTTGCATGATATTGATGGGTGCTACGCTACTCTTTGATGTTAATCTATTTTATCAATGAGAACAAAATCGGTTTTTGAGAACATCATAGATTCTATATATCGTGTGGCACTCTGTGGTCAATTATGTCCCATCTTTGTGTATATTCTGACAAGGAAACTTCTAAATCTTTTTCCTTTTTCAAACAGATGGTAGATACTTGATCGAGGTCGATAGAGTTTTGAGGCCTGGTGGGTATTTCGTGTGGACATCGCCACTTACCAATACTCAGGGAATTCTTCACAAAAAAGAGAACCAGAAAAGATGGAATTTCATCCAGGATTTCGTAGAATATCTGTGCTGGGAGATGCTTTTTCAACAAGACGAAACTGTTGTCTGGAAGAAAACTAGTAAAAGTAATTGTTACAGCTCACGGTACGACATCCGAGGCAGAATGTATCTAACTTTATGTCTTGCTTGATTAATAGTCAATACGAAAACATTGCAGTCCTAATTTTGTCTTTTGCTGCTTTTATATCTAGGAAGCCTGATTCATCTCCTCCAATATGTGGTAAAGGTCACGATATTGAATCTCCATATTATCGACCACTCCAAGGCTGCATTGGTGGACGAAAATGTCGTCGTTGGGTTCCTATTAACGAAAGAAGAACTTGGCCTTCGAGGGCTAACTTGAACAAGAGTGAACTGGCTTTGCATGGTAATTACGACGATGCTTTAGTTTCTTCGAATAAGTTGAAAGGAAAGCTTTGATTTTATTGGATTTGATGATATCCCATTACATATCACTGACATGTCAAGTTGGCATGTTTCAGGATTGGCTTTAGATGATTTCACAGATGATTCTCTAAACTGGAAAATGGCAGTAAAGAACTATTGGTCTCTTTTGTCACCATTGATCTTCTCGGATCATCCTAAAAGACCAGGCGATGAGGATCCTTTACCGCCATACAACATGCTTCGGAATGTGCTAGATATGAATGCTCATTTTGGAGGCTTCAATTCTGCATTATTGGAGGCTGGGAAGTCTGTATGGGTCATGAACGTGGTACCGACCGATGGACCAAACTATCTTCCCTTGATAATGGATAGAGGTTTCATTGGGGTATTGCATGATTGGTAATGCTACTCTTCTAAACTTGGTGCATCTCATCTGACGTTTGCTGCAGAAAATTTCTTTTGTTCTTACGTTCTAGTTGCCTTCTCCAATTCAGGTGCGAGGCCTTTCCAACATATCCTAGATCATATGATTTGGTGCATGCGGCAGGGCTTCTGTCCCTCGAAGCAAGTAAGAAGCGGAGGTGCTCGATGCTCGATTTATTCATTGAGATTGATCGGTTACTTCGTCCAGAGGTACTATTTCCTTTCCTTTAGTTAGTGTTGTTAGTTCTAGTGTTGGTGAAGAATAAGAATAACCAATAAAGTATGTTGAAGTTCTGCTGCTGAGCTCCCTAAAACTTAGCAATCTCTTTATGGGAAACAAGGAATGAAGGACTTTAAACCAATACTCAAGGGAGGCTATGTTTGCGAGCTTGTGAGTGTAACGTTGTTACACTCAAGTTCACCGCTAACAAATATTGTCTCTTTTGGGCTTCCCCTCAAGGTTTTTAAAACGCGTCTGTTTTCCTCCTTGGGCTTTCCCTTCCGAACTTCCCCTTAGGGTGTAAAGTTTTTGGACTTTCTCTTCCGGGCTTCCCCTCAAGGTTTTTGAAACGCGCCTGCTAGGGAGAGGTTTCCACACCCTTATAAAGAATGTTTCGTTCCCTTCTCCAACTGACGTGAATCTCACATAAGTGTTTTGGCAAAACACTTTTGCTATGGCCAAAAGTGCTTCCCACTTGTACACTTCACATCTTAGATTGGTTGAAAATTGTCCTATCACCATTTGTTGTTAATGTCGACGATGTCACTGGTTTTACAGGGTTGGGTGATAATCCGTGACACCGCTGCACTTATCGAATCGGCCCGAACTCTAACTACACAGCTTAAGTGGGATGCCCGAGTTATAGAAATCGAAGATAACAACGACGAGAGAGTCCTAATCTGCCAAAAACCTTTGTTGAAGAGACAAGCAAAGTGATTAGAAAGTATTTTATATTGATTCCATGGATGATGGAATAAGCATCATAGGAGGCATAGAAACAGGAAAGAAGAGAGTACACAAATTAGGATTGAACACACCAGAATAGCAGCAGCCATAGAAGCCGTAAGGCCGAAATAGGATCATGTAATTATGCAGAAGATGAGCACAGAAGTGAGAATTTGTAGGATTGTTTAGAGCTTTGTATTTTTATGCACTTCCTCAAGTGTTATACCTCAATGTGATTAAGATTGTGAAATTGGATCATCAACAAGCAACCTCATGTTTTTCTCTGTCATAATATAATTCCCAGTTATTTTTATTTTGTCGTAAATTTAAAAAAATTTCTTATTATTATTATTCCAAGTTTAAAGACGAACACGACTCTCCACAATGGTATGATATTGTCCACTTTGAGTATAAGTTCTCATGGCTTTACTTTGGACTTCTCCAAAAGGCCTCATACCAATACACAATGGTTGATATTGTCCACTTTCATCATCCAACACCTTCCTTTGAACAAAGTGCGCCTCTGTTTAATCGAGGCTCGACTCCTTTGGAGTCTTAGTCATTTTTAGTCATTTTTTACTGCCTTCAAGGAACTTCTTTTGGAGTCTTTTGTTCAACATTTGAAGATTGACATGACTAAGTTTCCTGCCTTCGAGGAGGCTTGACTCATTTTCTTTTGGAGTTCTTTGTTCGACATTTGAGGATTTACTAATCTATTGACACGACTAAGTTTACGACATGACTCTGATATCATGTTAAACGAACACGACTCTCCACAATGATATGATATTGTCCACTTTGAGCATAAGCTCTCATGGCTTAGCTTTGGACTTCCCCAAAAAGCCTCATACCAATAGAGAGAGTATTCTTTGTTTATAAATTCATGATCATTCCCTAAATTAGCTGATGTGGGACTTTCATCATCCAATACCTCCCCTCGAACAAAGTACGTCTTCCCTTAATCGAGTCTCGACTCCTTTAGAGTCTTAGTCATTTTTTACTGCCTCCGAGGAGGCTTGACTCCTTTTCTTTTGGAGTCATTTGTTCGTAATTTGAGAATTTACTAATCTATTGGCATGACTAAGTTTAGGGCATGACTCTGATACCATGTTGGACGAACACGACTCTTCACAATGGTATGATATTGTCCACTTTAAGCTAAGCTCTCATGACTTTATTTGAGTAGAGTGTATGAAATTTTTGAAAATTTAAAAATATTCTTACTAATTTACCTTTTTTTTATTTTTACTTTACGAAATAATAGAATATATATATATATATATATATATATTTTAGTACTAATGCTTAGAGAAAATTTATGTTATTTTAAAATATACCTTTTATTAAGATTTTATTTTTAAGTTGTTAAATGCACAATTTTTTGTAACTTAATATGAAAAATAAATGTTGGAGTCTAATAAATTTGTACTAATTTAATTTAAGTGATTTTTATAACTCCTTACTCTATTTTATTTATTTATGAACATTTATGTCATAATTTTTAAAATAATTTAAATAAATATAATTATTAATATAACTTAAAATCTAGGAGTATAAATTAAATTTGTGAAGAAAAAAATGAAATACTTAGCTCCAGATTTCCAGTACGTCCAGTTTAATCAGCAAAAGCAACCAAATCAAAATTCTGATGGCTTGGCGCCTTCTCGTCACCAACCTAAAATCCCCCGAAACCCTAACCCTAACAAACACCCTCCGCCATTCCTCTGCTTCCTTCTTCAACCAGGAACTCCCATTTTCCACCTCCTTCCTCATCACCAAGCTCCCCAAGAAGTTCAGGAAGAAACGCAAGAAGCAAGAAAGCCCTAGAACCAAGCTCGTCCAATCCGAACCTAATCGCATTTCTTACTTCGAGCGCATCGTTGAAACAGATTCCTTCTTCAGATTCCTTTTTAAATCGAAGGATTTCCTTTCGAAGCAGCCGGAGCACGTTCTTCGCCTCGACGATGCCGGTAAGCTCTATCGCGAACTCGGTTTCCCGAGAGGACGCAAAGTCGCTCGATCTATTGAGCGCCATCCGCTCATTTTCGAACCCTACCGTCACGTGGATGGAAAAATGTGGTTTGGATTTACCGAGTTTATGGAGAGGTTGATCGAGGAAGAGAAGAGGATTATGGACTCGATGGAGATGGATAGGGTTAGAACTGTGAGGAAGTTGTTGATGATGTCGGCGAATAAGCGGATTCCATTGTCGAAAATCTATCACTGCAGATCGGTGTTTGGGATTCCAGAGGATTTTAGAGATCGAGTGGGGAAATATCCGGATTTCTTCAGAGTTGTGGTGGAAGATGATGGGAAGAGGGTGCTGGAATTGGTCAATTGGGATCCTCTATTGGCTGTTAGTGACCTCGAGAGAGAATTCGTGATGAACGAGGATAAGGCGAAAAGGGCGTTCAAGTTTCCTGTGAAACATGGGAAGGATTTGGATTTGGATGAGGATGATACGAGGAAGCTGAATTTGTTGAATACACTTCCATTGGTTTCGCCATATTCAGACGGATCGAAGCTGGAACTTTGGACATTGGAGGCAGAGAAGTACAGGGTTGGCGTGGTGCATGAGTTCTTGAGCTTGACATTGGAGAAGAAGGCTTCTATTCATCATATTGTGGAGTTTAAGGAGGAGTTCTGCTTGACTAAGCATACTTATCAGATGCTTCGTAAGCAACCCAGAACCTTTTATCTGGCTGGGACGGAAATGAATTGGGTTGTTTTCTTGAAGGATGCATACAATGAAAATGGCGACTTGATTGAGAAGGATCCTCAAGTTGTTTTCAACGAGAAGCTGCGTAGATACGCTCAAATGCAGAAGATGGAATGATATCCTATCAAAGGTGAGTGATATTGATTTAGAAATGAACTGTTTTTGTTCTTAGGCAAAAAAATCTGTCACTCCAATGAGGTAAATATAGATCTTCTTTGGCATACACTATTTGTTAGGCTGAATCTCTGTTTGTTTAGTTTGATTTAAAGTGGGATTAGTGATAGAATTGTTAAGTCCACTAATAGTAGATATTGTCCTCTTTGGGATTTTTTCCGAGCTTCCACTCAAGGTTTTAAAACGTGTCTGTTTGGGAGAGGTTTCCACGATTTTTTCCTTTTGAGCTTCCACTCAAGGTTTTAAAACGCGTCTGTTTGGGAGAGGTTTCCACGATTTTTCCCTTTTGAGCTTCCACTCAAGGTTTTAAAACACGTCTGTTAGGGAGAGGTTTCTACACCCTTTTAAAGAATGCTTCATTCCTCTCTCCAACTAATATGGGATCTCACAATCCACCCCCTTCGTGGCCTAGTGTCCTCACTATCACAATCCACCCCCTTCGTGGCCCAGTGTCCTCACTATCACAATCCACCCCCTTCGTGGCCCAGTGTCCTCACTATCACAATCCACCCCCTTCGTGGCCCAGTCCTCACTATCACAATCCACCCCCTTCGTGGCCCAGTGTCCTCACTATCACAATCCACCCCCTTCGTGGCTCAGTCCTCACTATCACAATCCACCCCCTTCGTGGCCCAGTCCTCACTATCACAATCCACCCCCTTCGTGGCCCAATGTCCATTCCTCTCTCCAACTAATATGGGATCTCACAATCCACTCCCTTCGTGGCCCAGTGTCCTCACTATCACAATCCACTCCCTTCGTGGCCCAGTGTCCTCACTATCACAATCCACCCCCTTCGTGGCCCAGTGTCCTCGCTGGCACACCGCTTGGTGTCTGAGCGTGATACTATTTGTAACAATTTGTAACCGCCCAAGTCTACCCCTAGCACACACGTTTTAAAAACTTGAGGAGAAGCTTGGAAGGGAAAGCCCAAAGAAAAGAAAACATATCTATGACATTAAGAAATGCAATCTCAATTCACTAAGGTTAAAGAGAACATTTTAACCACATGACTAACGAAGTTCTATGGACGGGAAAAACAGGGCAGCAAATGTGATAGAGCTGAAGAAATTGGGAAACAAAACAGAACAGAAAACTCATCCTAATGAATATCTTTTTGGTATCTCAGCGGAAGGGCCGAGTCTAACGAGACGATGATGATGCAAGGGCTGATGAATCCATCCCCAGAGAAGAATGGCGTAAGGTTGGCGCTTTTGATCTGTGCCTGCCTTTGTGTGCAACACTTGCACTACTCCTGTGCCCACTGATGGAAGATGATGATGATGCTATATGGCTCGTTTTCCTTGATGTTCTTCTATGAGAACACCAACTACCGTTCCCTAGTGCAGCTTTGGCAACGCGGTCAGTTGCGACTTCTCGAGCTCTCTGTGCTTTGATGGCCTGCTTGTTTAGATAAACAAGACTTGGAAGAAGGCCAACTACTGCCTTGCGTAGCTGGTCGTCGCTCACATTACTTTGAATTGGATTCCCCAACAGATTAAGAGCTTGAAGAGAGTTGTAGTTGGCAACAAGTTGGGCCAGAGCTTTGTTTGTTGAAATCTTGTTGAAGCTTAGGTCGAGAACCGTGAGCTTCAAGAGTCGATGCAGTCCATCAACATCACTAATCTTGTTGCCAGCAAGATAGAGTTCCTTAATAATCGCACAGTTTGACAACCCTGGTGTACATTTCAACAAATTGCACATTCAGAATCATCAGAAATTGATAAGTTTTAGACCTTTCTATACGTTTTTCCAACAGTACCATGTCCAATGTGAGATATACGATTGTAACTCAGATCGAGTATCCGAAGTCGTGCTAATTCTTTGAGTCCTTCAATGGCACTGATCTTGTTCCTGGACAAGTTGAGAGTATGCAATCCCTTGGGCAGTGATCCAGGGTTAATGTGATCTGGCAACCAACCAACCAACCATGTAAGTGGCAAGAATAGTGCTATGCCAAACATTTGGAGATATAAGAAGGAATTACCTATGAGATTTCCAGACAAGTTGACAGATCTAAGACCGGATAGGTGCGAGATTGTGGGTATGGCTTTTAAGCCAATGCCAGAGATGTGAGCCACGGTTGAGGAAGAATTGAGCGACCCAATGATGCTATTGGCATACAAAATCTCTTCTGTCAGATTGGGTTCTCCACGTCGGGGTGTGTGAGTTGCAGTTCGCTCTGGAGTTCGCGGGAAGAAAGTATCTGAATCATTGTCATCCCCGACCACGTCAATTGAAAGACAGGGTTCTAGTTGAAGTTCCTTCACCCACTCATCCACTCTTCTTAGGGAAGAAGATGATTCTGCTGAAAATGCAACCCACTGGTTTTGTGGCCATAAACCAGAAACTCCAATACACACATTCTCCCGATCCTGATCATCGCTTTTGTTGTTTTCGGGACATTCTCCTGATCCAGGTGATTCCATTATACTCTTCCCCGCTGCTCTGTTCAGCTCGAGATTGTCAGAGCAATACCCACCTTGCTGGTTGAAAGCAGAGCTGGTGGGAAGAGCCTTGGTATTGGTAGTCCACGGCTTTTGTAGGTTTCTATGGCTCCACAGGAACAACTTCCACCACAATCTCCTGCTTCTGGAAGGTAGAATCTGGCTTGAAGAACGCTTCTTCAACATCACTTTATCAGCACTGTGATGAGTCATTACAGACCCTGGACTCCCCGGATCAACATAGTTCCTCATTTCGTCTGCCAATTCTTGCAGTTTTTCGAAAGACTGAGACATCGGAGGAGGCAACTGATGAGGAGATAAGTTTCTAAGCACATCCCTGCTTTCCAGATTAGAACATGAGCGTCTAAGTCTAGGTAATGCCCAAGATACTGGCTTACCAATTCCAGGATCACTAACATGTCCACTTTGGATTGTATCAACCCCTTCAATAATGATCTTATCAAATTGTTTTCCCAATGAACTTGGAAATTGAAACTCAAATTCTTCTCCACACGTGTCTTGAGCAGGGAGATCAAAGTCAGAAGGGTTCCGCTTGATCGAGTTGTCATCTCGCTCATCCTCCCCTTCATATGCTGGTTCTACTGCTCCTCCTGCTACAGAACTCTCATGATTGTTCGTTAACTTAACATCCAGCTTAGAATTATTCTCTGATGGGTACAGAACTGAAACGTCCAGGGTAGACGGCTTCCTTTCTCCACCTTGGAAAGGCTCCTCACAGTGATGGATGCTGCTGACATGCAAAGTTCTGGACAGATAATTCAATTCGGTAGGCTTCTCTAGTTCCAAATCGATCTGCAATCATAGATTAAGAGGATATATAGATTCAGCAAACTCCGTTGGGAGACGTAACAAGCAACCAAGATTTGAATAATGAAAGAAAACATGCCTTGGTTTTCTTCTTCTTCTTCCCTGTTCGGCCAGAGAAGCAATTGAATTTTGCCATAAGTATACTTCTTGAATGATAAGAAATGTTCTCTACGTTTCGTTTCCTGTTAGTAATCCTTTTCAAATGCTCACATCGCTAACGATTTTGACAAAGCTATACTTTGTTTTTTTTTAAAAGGTCGACCGGAATGAAATTAGCCGTAGTCGATCGGAAGACGCCGAACCAACAACAAACTGCAATCGGACGACGTCCATGGACCAGAAAATCCCCAAAAATTGTCAATTCTAGGGGAAGATAGAGACGATTTCACTGCGACGTCGGCCAGAGCTATGAAGGAGGCAGCTTCTCCTCAGAAGCTTCACCAAAAATTCCTCGACGACAAGAAACCTAGTCGCACAAACAAGGTACACCGGTATAAACGCAATCAAGTTCAAAATCGGTAAAAATGTCCATGCGATCTGTAATTTAATCGAAGAAAATCAACGTATTGGCAATTGAAAAAGAAGAAGAAAGAAGATGAAATAGAGAAAGGAAAGCACATTTGGGCGATGAGGTCCTCCAGATTTACCTTATAGAACAAGAACTTGAAAGAAGCAAGATCGGGAGGTTCAGAACAAAGTGCTCTTTACTCCCAAATCCAAGAATGATGTAAAATTGAGGAAGAAGAGAAGTGGAGGAGGCACGGATAAATAGAGCACCGAGTTACAGTAGAATGAGAGAGAAAGAAGTCTCGCATGGAACGCGCCATTCTTCAAACAAAATATTTATTTAATATAAATCAAAATTATAATTAAATACGGTGGAATATTTGTTTTATATCCTGAAATTCTAAATGCCACATGGGCCGTAAATAAACCTGGTGTCCACGCTGTCATTATCTCCAACTTTCATCCACCACCGTCCGATCAACAGTTTGCATCCAAAAAAAGACATCTTACGGTGATTGTTGACGTTTCTTTTAGTTTCCATTTTTGGCAGTTAACTATTATTCTTTTTATTTATAGAATATATTCCATATTATAATTAATATAATTATTATTCTACACTATATCCATTATTGGAAGGAAGGGCAAAGGTAATGGCACGTGTGAGATAACATGCATGGATTCTTGCGTATTGAACGGTAAGAAATCGACATCTCTCTTATTCGCCAAAGGTCACCTCCTCGCGCATCCCACCCCACCATGTAAGAAAAACTTGCAAATATTTGGTAAATTTATTTTTAAAATATTGTTTTTTGTGATATTTGAGTAAATAGGGAAGCATGAATCAGATGGACCCAAGCTATTGGGCCCAGCCCAGAAGATAATATAAAGAAAATATAACGAGTCCTTTACTTTCCCAACGGAGCCCAGCCCAACACAGTTGTGGAAGAATCCCGATTCAATGGCACATAAAGAAGCATCATAGGATAAAATAAATCGATGTGGGACTGACGCAGTTCATATAACACCAACAGTCAAATAGACCATCAAAAAACAAAAACGAAAACGAATTCCCAAACCCAGAAGATTCATACACAAAATTGGAATAAAAATGAACGATTTCAAGGGCAATGTACCCAAGCAAGGGGAACCAGAGATGTGATAGCACAAAATCTGGACAAAATAAAACCCCCAAAACTCAGAGAATCAATGTACGCCTCCAGAACAAAGCCACCAAGAATACGATCAAAAGATCTCACCACTTGAAGCTGAAAGGAGAGGCGAATTAAATCAAAAATCAAATCAAACCCTAATGCCACAAACCCCAAAAGCCAAGAATCTCTAAAATTGGAATCGTATGCCTTTGAATCAAAGCTTACGATGAATATATATAGCGCCTGAAACCCTAGACGACCGTTTCTGCGGGGGTAATTTGGTAATTTTCGCAATACGGCAATAATATGTGGGCTTTGGGCTTGGGCTTGGGGTTTTGGGCTTGGCTTGGGGTTTTGGGCTGGGCTTTGGGCTTGGGCTTGGGCTCATTAATATAATAAAAATTGAAATTAAACATAATCAGCCTAATCTAATTTACAGATACAGTATACCCGAAACACGTATATTTACTTTGTTGGCCTAAAACATAAATTTCTTCTTATTTGGGGTATATACTGAATGTCGTCTTTACTATCTAAACCTAACGACAATGCACGATATGTCGTCTTTACTCTCGTTCAGCAAAGCCTCTGTTATTAACTGCTTTGCAGCCTTCATCGGGTCCTTGATTCTTCGTGCGATATCGACCGCTTCTTGATTCGACATGACCTGTTTCAATCCACATTCATAAGAAGAACACAAATGAATGATTTCTAGAAGTGTTTAGGAATGGAAGGTGATGATAACACCTTCCAAAGACCGTCGCTAGCGAGGATTAATACGTCTGTGTTGGCGTCTATGTTAATATCACGTATGTCGGGGTCCGATCGTAGGTGAGATTTGAGGCTCTTGTCTCCAAATGCTCGCGAAACCGCTAGCTGACCGTTCACTCGAGGTACGTCTCCTATTTTTATAGGAAAGAAAAACAAAACATGAACTCAAACTGATATGAACCAAGACATCAGTATATGAATGTTACCTGGCATGTTAGAAACGAAGCCACCTTTATTCTCGATGATACTGCGTTCAGCATTCGGCTCGTGATCGATGGTCATTTGTATAGCTTCCCCGCCTCTCGAAAGAACAGCGCGTGAATCTCCAACGTTGGCCACCCATAGTCGTTGACCGTTAATCAGAATAGCAGTGACAGCGGTTGATCCGCCACGACCCAAGTCAGAGCTGTGGGATAGAATCGCCTGGTCCGTTTTCTCGTAGGCTTTCGAGATGGAGCTGTTCGGGTCGACCCAAAAGTCCTCCTGTAATGAAAAGAAAAGGGACATGAATGGATACTCAGATAGGGCAGGGTGGGCTAGAAGTTGGTTGTCACCTCTTTGAGGATATTAGAAAAGAGATGCTTTTGTAAGTAAGCAGGCACAGTTTGTTGAACATGACCATCGTAGATAGCAAAGAGCCCCAATTCATGTTCTTGAATTTGAACGAACTTAGCAACATGGTAATCTTCCATGGGATGGTTAGCTTTCCCTTTCACAAGGCAGAATCCATACTTGATTACTCCTTCATGGCTTCTTCCTTTACCGTAGTTCGATGCCGACCGAACCTACACCACCAGATTAATAATCTTTCTATGAGATCCCACGCCGGTTGGAGAAGAGAACATCTATAAGGGTGTGGATAGCTCTCTCCCTAATAGACGTGAGGAAAAACCCAGAAGAGAAAGCTCGAAGAGAACAATATCTGCTAGAGGTGGGTTTAGGTTATTACATCCTTCCGAGTATCCCATTCAAAATATCACTCATTTTGGGGTAGCATCAGCTAGAAGACAACGAACATGACCAATTCCCTCTATACATAGAACACTAAAGCTATGCACTACGCCTTGACCCTACAGAGATTTTGTGAGATCCTACGTCGGTTGGAAGGAGAACGAAGCATTTTTTATACGGGTGTGGATACCTCTCTCTCTAGTAGACGCGTTTTAAAAACCGTGAGGGAAAACCCAGAAAAGAAAGCTCAAAGAGAACAATATCGGCTAGCGGTGAATTTAGGTTATTACACCTTTCGAGTATCCCGTTCAAAATATCACTCATTTTGGGGCAGCATCAGCTAGAAGACAATGAACATAATCAATTCCCTCTATACATAGAACATTAAAGCTATGCACTATGCCTTTATCCGAATGAAACATTCTTTATAAGGGTGTAGAAACCTCTCCATAACAGACACGTTTTAAAAACTTTGAGGAGAACCCCAAAAGGAAAAGTCAAAAGAAGACAATATATACTAGCAGTAGACTTAGACCATTACAAATGGTATCAGAGTCAAACATTGGGCGATATGTCAACGAGAAGGCTGAGCCCCAAATGGGGTGCACACGAGGCAGTGCGCTAGCAAGGACACTAGTCCCCGAAGGAGGTAGATTAAGGGATCCCACATGAATTGGAGAAAGGAACGAGTACTAACGAGAATGCTAGCCCTGAAAAGGGTCGGGGAGGATAACAAAGCATTCTGTAAACCTCTCCCTAACAGACCAAATAGAAGAATATCAGCTAGCGGTGAGCTGGAACGGTGCTAGAATCGTAAGAATTTCCAAAATTGAGTACAAAATTTGTCAGTGGATTTGGTAAATTCATGGCACAGAAGGAATCAACACAGCTGGAATTGAAGAACGGTGAAACACAAAAGGTAAGAGAGGCTGTTCTTAGTTCTTACCCGAGAGTATGAAGCATTAAAACAGCACAGCTTATCCATCAGCCAAGTCCGAATCAAACCCTCTCCAAATTCACCAACTGCACCATCAAATTCCCAACTCAACCATGGTTAATAATCCAAAAGAAAAACGAAACAAAACCCCAAAACATTGGTTCGAACCTGTACCGGGGGAACTGGGCTGCGCTTTTGCAGCTCCTTCCGTGCGACGTCGCTTCACCTTGTTCTTCTTGGAGTTCTTGATTTCAGAGGGAGAGAGAAAAGGGAAGCGAACATATAAATTTTTATCACAATTTAAAATAATTAAGATTTAATAAAATAAAAAAATTATAAAAAAAAAAAACCTTTTATAGGTTCATTCACTTTGAGTTTGAATTCTAAAAAGAAAATAAAAAAAAGGAAAATTGCCCACAAAATGGGACTTTGACTTTCTTCTCTGTTGACTTTCTTGTTTTTTACTGTTGACTTTGTGATTTCGTGTTAATTTTTCACTTTTTTTAATTATGTTACAATCCTACGTGGGATGGAAAATTCAATCATATTAATAATCATATTTTAAAAATAAAAATATGGGAATATTTAAATATTGGTGGAATATTTTAAACATAAATTGAGGAAAAAAAACATGCAATAACTCCACATGTCTCGGTAAATGACATGATTTTGACACGTGTAGGTACGGTCACCGACCACTCTTGCTTTCTAATTTTTTAATTTAATTTAATTTAATTTCCTCAAAATAAATTAATAAATCAGGTATTAATTATATAACTGTAATTAGTTAAATATATATATTTAATTGAACATATTTAAAAAATAAAATAAAATATTGGAAATAAGAACAATTAATAAATGATCTAATTGAAACAATTGAGCAAATAATCAAAAGGGCGTGAGAAAGGGATAATTGACCAAATGGTCGGTTGAGCGAGTCAAGCT